TTAGCAATTGCTAGATTGTTTTATGATAGTTGTATTCCATTCAATGCCATCAACTCACCTTTTGCACAAAAGGCTATTGATGCAATTGCTGCAATATGACCTGGATACAAATTACTATCTTACTACAAATTAAGAGTGAATCTGTTATGGGATGTGAAAGAGGAATGTAAATTGTTAATTGAATCTTATAGAAGAACATGGAAAGAAACTGGTTGTACATTGATGGCTGATGGTTGGACAGATACAAGAAATATGACATTAATAAATTTTCTTGTTTATTGTCCTCGAGGAGTATCATTTTTAAAATCAGTAAATGCATCTGATGTCATTAACGATGCCACAACATTGTGCTCATTATTCACTGATATCGTTGAATGGGTTGGTTATGAGAATATAGTTCATTTTATAACAGATAATGCAGCAAATTATAAGAAAGCTGGTGAGTTATTGCATGAAAAATATGAAAATATATATTGGTCACCTTGTGCAACTCATAGCATTAATCTCATTCTGAAAGATATTGGAAGCATGTCTTATATTACAAAACTTGCTAGAAAAGCTTCAAATGTTACAATTTTTATTTATAACCATGCTTTTATATTGGCTTGGTTAAGGAAAAGGAAAGGTTAGACTGAAATTGTAAGGCCAGGAGTAACGAGATTTGCAACAACGTTCATTACCTTAAGAAGTGTTCATGATCATAAACATGATTTTCAAGCATTCGTCACCAGCAAGGCTTACATTGATTCAAAGTTAAGTAAGACAATGAAGGGGAAAGAGGCAGCCTCAATTATTTTGGATGCAAGATTTTGGAATGATAACTTTATAATTTCTAAATTATTAGGGCCCCTAATTAGGTTGTTAAGAATTATTGATGCAGATTAAAAGCTATATCTTGGATACCTTTATGATGGTATGTATAGAGCTAGAAAAGCAATGAAGGCTATGTTTAGAAATAATAAAATAATGTACAAGCCTTTCACTAGTATCATCAAGAGAAGATGGGATAATCAATTAAGACAAGGGATACATTCAACAGCTTATTTTCTCAACCCTCATTTTCAGTATGACAGGGAAAATTATTGCAACAAGCCTGGAGTTTTGCAAGGTCTAATAGAATTGATTGGCAATAAAGAAATATGTCCAAAACCATCTTTGGCAATAAATGAGGTGAGGCTTTTCCGTGATAATTTAGAAAGTTTTGGTAAGCCAATTGCATCAACATTAACAAAAGAAATGCAACCAGGTAAGATGACAAAATTTTGAGATTTCATTTTAGTATATATTTGAACAAATTAATGTATGTTTATTAATTTATAAATGAATGGTGGAAGATGTTCGGCTCTAGTGTACCAAACTTATAGAAAATGGCTATTAGAATTCTTAGTCAGACATCACCTTCATTAGGTTGTGAGAGGAACTGGAGTGTGTTTGAGTAGATTCATACAAAAAGAAGGAATCATCTTGAGCACCAAAGGCTAAATGATCTTGTCTATGTTCGTTACAATCTCAATTTAAGAAATATGTACTATTTGAAACTTCTTTAAATATTTTTTAAATAATGATGCACATTTTATTATTAATTTTTTATAACAATTATGTAGGTTGTAGCTTAGAAAAAGAAGTTATGATCCTTTGGACTATACAAGTTTTGAACTTGTTGATTTCTGGATCCTTGAAGATGAACCAACTCCAGAATTGCATTTAGAAGACTTGGAGTCGAAAATTTACAAAGATGATGCAATTCCTATAAATATAGAATCAAACTTAACATCATCTACACCAACCCCAAGTAAGATTGTTGATTAACTTATATCTTTTGAGTATAATATTAAATATAAACTTATTATTTCATATTAATAATTTGCAGATGAAGACAACTTATCTAATATATGTGATGAAGATGACATATCATGTGAGGATGCAGAAGTATTTGAGATGCAAGATTTTGGTGAATGAGAGTTTGAGAATCCATCATTCAATCACACAAATTTAGTGGATGATTAGTAGATTTACTATGAGTGTTTTGCATTTTTTATATGTAAATTGATATAAACTGATTACTTTTTTTGTCTCTATGGTATTAAGTTAAAGCTTTTTTATATTTATGAATTTTGAGTTTGTCTTATCAATAAAGTGTCATAATTTTGCTATAAGATATGAAGATGTATATTATATGTTGCCAATTTAATATTTTTTAATGTCTATTTTGTTATATATTTTACTTCATTTTCTTTTGCTCATTTCATTTTTTAACAATTTCACATGATAGAGAAGAAGAATTGAAGATGTTTGCATTCATCAACTTCCAACACACAATAGAGCTCAACAAAATGTATGTTATTTACTTATTTGCTTATTTGTTATAAACTTCATTGATGTCATATTTATATTATTTGATTAGTTTGATATGAAAATGAAATGCATACACTACAGGAAAACAACTCATTTCCGACAGAATTTCCGGCGGAAGTAAATTCGTCACAAATTTCCGGCGGACTTCCGGCGGATTTTTTTCAACGAATTTCTGACATAATTTTTTATTGGTTTTCCGACGAATTTTTCCAGAAGAAATTTCCGGCGGAGTTCCGACGGATTTCGGACGGAAATTAAAAATTAAATATTTTTACACTAATACTATGAGGAGCTCCTGAGTCGTGAAGGAAATAGGCAACTTTATAAAATGCTATAGCCTTCCCAAACAAATTCTATATTTTATAAATAATGCGCTTTATAAATAATGATATTAATATACATTTCATCATGTAAAATATTTGGGCACTTCATATTAGTCTTTATATGATAGAGAAAAAATTGGAATCACAATCCTTTGAATGCAAACTCTAGTTCACTTCGCACTAATATTTGTTGTTGGGGATGAGGAGTAAACACTGCAGTGATGAAACAAGCAAGAAAGTAAAGGCAGCGGAAAAATAAAGGACATCAGAATTTAACGTGAAAAATTTTAAATTAGGAAAAAAAAACACGGAGCCACATCACACCAAGAAATCTACTATGAACCATTCTCTATGTCTATAATAATAGAAAATACAAGAGAAAGCCAGTTATAACCACCAAGGGATGCAATCCTTTGAGAAAGCCAGTTATAACCCCAAAGCGGTGCTCAAGCTTCTATCTGCTGACGATGCGACGCTCAAACTTGCAGCGCCACTTTGTCGAATCTAGTGCTCTATGACTCTTTGTTCTCTTTTGATTAGCGCGTTGGCACTCAGGAAAAACGCCAGGGCGCTCATGTACATAACTTCGGGGTATTGTATAGAAAAAAAGAAATTCCTGAAGCAAAGCACCTTAACCCAAGTAAGGGGTAAACCTCCTGCACCCCCCCAGAAAGCAAGACAAACTTGAGGTCCGAGGCAACATAAATAATCCAATTAATCAACACAATTAGATTCTAACATTTTTAGCTTAAGCCAAGGTAATGACCACTTAATAAAGCATAAATTGACATTATAAACTATACGCCTTTCTTAATGCATCATAAGTGGTCCTAAGTTGCCCTATCTTCTAATTTAATATAGTCAAAATGCTAACACACATCACCTAACAAAACAAATCAAAAGAAGATTGATTGAAAATTCAATTAAGATGTTAATTATCTAAACTCTCTAATCAAATACTTATGATTCATTAATATAACTCTCTTTGTTTCATATAACACAAATATACAAAAATATAATTAATGTAATCCCACTTTGAGAAGTAAGCAAATGCTTTACAAATTATGATTGGGTTGAATTACAACATAACATAAATTAAAAAAATATATATTATTATTATAATTTCTTACAATAATTATGATTAGATTAACTACATGTGTATTTAACTAAAATTATATACAAACAAAAAGGTTTATGGGCCTTTCAAGATTGTGTTTCTTGTGGGCTTTCAAAGTTTTTTTTTTTTTTTCTTGCAACAATTAAAACTACTATAAATGTATCCAAATTTAAAAAATACAAAAATAAAAAATAAAAATAAAAAAAAAAACAAAAAAATCCAAATTTAAAAAATACTATTTCTTTATGAAAATAAATAACAAAAAAAAGAAGATAAGGTATATAAATCAAAATTAAAAAATAAGTTTAATAAATAATTTATGTGATACATGCTGTTTCAGTAACAATTATTCTGTGCGGTCACCAGACGCCGTCCGAAGGGGAATCAGAATGCATCACATCACTTTTTAGCTGTGTATGAGAGTTGTGTACCAGTGTCTACCAGGTGACATGGCGCATTCTGATTCGCCTCCAGACCTTCCGGTGACCGCACATAATAATTTCTTCAATTGTACGCAGCTTCTTCCTTTCTATTCTCTGCTACATGTAATATTATAATCCATCCTTTTATTCAATACAATATTGATTTCACCGTTCTGCTGCTGCAATGATTCTGAACTTCTTCACTTCATTCATCCATCATACACTTAGGGCATCTCCAACCGCACGAAAATCTCCTCATTTTCAACTCCAACATGTTCAGTGAAACAAAAAAAAAAGTGCCATGATTCTCTCCTCCAATCGAACGCATTTTGTCCCATAACCATCACTCTCTTCTTTCGCGGCAGGACAAAAAATGGGTAGCGGTGGATGAACGTGCCGACGCCAAGCAGATGAACAGTGCGACGTCAATATTGGCGTCGCACTTTTCATTGTATCCCTATATTACGCTACCGCATCAAAATGGTGGAGGAAAAGCATCCGGTTTGTGATGTTTTTAGGGCCTCCATTCGGCTGTTTGCCGAACGGTTGGAGATGGTCTTAAGGCTTCATTTGGGATGATTTTTTATTTTTCTAAAGCAGCTTCCTATTACCAAATTTTTTCAGTTAAACAAATTTTGAACTTAAAATTTTTTTTTAGAAAGAAGTAAAAACTGTCTCAAACGAAACCTTCATTCATGCTTTAATGTCTTCATTTTGGATAGATCTTAAAAAGGAGGAAAAAGAGAAATATGAGATTCAATGATCCAATTCCCATTCTCATAGTAAAAAGTTGCTTATTCATACTAAAAAACAAAGCATTGTTGGTTTCCAACTTTCCATTAATCACTTTTCCCAGCTCTGCTAACCACCTAACAGAATCAATTATGCTGCAGACATTCTGAACATCACTTCATCTTCTCAAATCTCTCTGATTCAGAAAGCAGAACCTGTTTCCTGAAACATTTATTTAGCTTCCATAATCTCATAGAAATCTTCTGTTACAAATCATTTAGAATTCTATCATTCCATAACATATATAGATAGCTACAGAAAGCACATAAAAGAGACTCCCGCAAGGGACGGCTTTCTTCCTGCTTCTTAAAACAGTTTTTTAGTACAAAAAAATTAACTTTTTATACTAAAAACAATTTTAAGAAGCAATAAAAAAGTTGTCCCAAACAAAAATAATAAGCTGCGGTGAACTATTTGCTCAACTCCATTATCCAAGCATTGGAGAAGTTGCAGATAACATTGAAACCTGAAAATCCAGAGAGTTTGGCCAACTCTCTGAACTCTTTCTCTGTTCTCTCCTTGCCACTGGGACTCTCCAGAAGCATTATCACGTCAGTGTTCAGGACGCAATGTGTCAGATCTGTGTAGTCTGGAGCTTCAGGCAGAAAGGAATCTATAACTATCACTTTGCCATTTTCTGGAACTGATTTCCAGCAGTTCTTCAGAATCTTCAGGCTATCCTCGTCGCCCCAGTCATGAAGAACCCACTTGGTAATTAATCAGAAAAATCATTTATCAGGCTTGTTTTTCTTTATAAATCTGATTAAAATGAACAGAACCGTTGAAAAGAAAAAAAAAAGTGTGAAATACATTAGTATGGGGTCCTGAGCCGTTTGATTTGCATTGAGATTAGTATTTATATGATATTTTGAATTGTACTAATCTCAAAGCAAATCTGACGGCTTATATTGTTTGTATAAGAATGCTCCTAACTAATTTCTTTTTTATCTCAATATTACCAATATTAGTGAAAAAAAGAGCTATATGTTATTTAAGTTGGACCAAGTTGGTTAATTGGGTCATTCTATTAACTCAAATTAATTAATTATGTCAATATATTGAACCAACCTAATTATTAGTTAGATAGATTAAGGCTTCGTTTGGGACGGCTTTCTTTCTGCTTCTTAAAGCAGCTTCCTAGTACAAAGATTTTAATTTTTATACTAAAAAGTTGCTTTTAGAAGCAGTAAGGAAGCCGTCCCAAACGAAGCCTAAGGGTTTGTTTGGGATGATTGTAGCGTTTTATAAAGTTAGTTGTGAAGTTGTTGTGGGAAAAGTCATTACTTTAGGTTTCGTTTGAGATGGCTTTCTTATTGCTTCTTAAAGCAGCTTTCTAGTATAAAAATTAAAATTTTTGTATTAAAAAACTGCTTTAAGAAACAGTAAAAAAGTCATCGCAAACGAAGCTTTAGTTGCAAAAATATTACTTTCCACCACACAAATTTCTAAAATGCAATGAGAAAGTAGCAATACAACAATGGCCAAACAAAATTTTGATTGCTGTGCTGAAAGAGAAATAGCTAGAAAGCTATCACAAACAAACACTAAGCCAAAAATATTACTATAATGATTACTAATTCCTATTGATATTTTATATAAGAAATTTTATATTTTGAAAAATATATTTTTGAATGCTTTTAGTATATATTTATATTGAAAATTTAGATCTATAAATAATACTTCGATTGCTAATTATAAGTGTTTTTTGAAGGAAATAAACCCCTAACTTTTTTTCCTTTAAATTGAAAAATAATCAAAATTTATATCAAAATCATTCTTAAAATTATTAAGTTTATTTTGACATAATATAATATAAAATTTAATTAATTTTTGCATATTATAATAATCTTTTGCAATAATTTGAGCATCAAGTGACCTTACTACACCACAACCTCATTTGAGTAAATTATATTAATCTCAACAAATAATAATAATTTTAAAACTAAAATTTATGAAAAATATTCACCAAAATTAATTTCACAATTTATATTATAATTATGTTAATATTAGCTCTATGTCACCTTCAACAACAAAGCCTCTCCACTTGGAATGCTTTCAAACACATCTCCACCAACATGCTCCACTCCTACATCAATAAAATATAACTCAATTTTTTTTTTAAAAAAAAAAAGCCATAAAAACATTAATTTTCAATGCACTTAAGCTTCATTTGGGACAGCAAAAAGCAGCTTTCTAACACAAAAAAAAAGAAAAATACTAAAAATCTACTTTAAAAAGAAGTAAGAAAGTTATTCTAAAAGAAGTCTTAGGCTTCGTTTGGGACAGCTTTTTGTTGCTTTCTAGTACAAAAATTTCTTGAATAAGAAAATTTTATACTAGAAAACTATTTTAGGAAGCAGTACGAAAAATGTCCCAAACGAAGGCTTAGTAATAGAACACATCATGTCAATGAAGATAATTAAGCTAAATGCTCAATTACAAGAGCTCAATCAAGAAGAAAAATGAATAATAGACAAGCAAACTAATCACCTGGCAAAGAAGGTGCTTGAGCAATAACATGAGGAAGATCAAAGTTAATCCCTTTGATATGAGAATGCTTTGCAGTGATCATACTGAGTGTTCCTCCTGTTCCACCACCTACATCAACAAGCACATTGATATCCTCAAATCCCTTATAAATTTTCAGAATGTTCTTCATGATTATGATAGAATGGCTTCTCATTCCCTCATTGAAAACTTTGCTGAATCTTGGATCTGTAGCATGGTATTCAAATTCATTCAGTCCACCATGAGCTCTGTTGAAGGCCACTCCTCCATGCAATATTGCATCCTTTAGGTGATACCTTTAAATGAAAAGTAGGGAGATTAGTTTAGTTGGTAATTAAAGATCTTAGAAATTATTGAAAAGATTTTGTATTTGAATCTCATATAGATTAAGGCTTCGTTTTGGACAACTTTCTTACTGCTTTCTAAAACAACTTTTTAGTGCAAAAAGTCTTGATTCAAAAAAAATTTGTATTAGAAAGCTGTTTTAAAAAACAGTCAGAAAAACGAAGCCTAAGTTTGTGTATTGGCATTCATTGTTTGGCTACTAGTGTGATTTAGGCTTCCTTTGGGACGACTTTCTTACTGGTTTAAAAAATTTTATACTAAAAAACTGTTTTAAGAAGCAGTAAGAAAGCTGTCCAACACGAAGCCTTAGTAAATATTTTGAATCCAAATGCAGTTTTTGTTTAGAACAACTTTCTTTCTGCTTTTTAAAATAGCTTTCTAGTATAAAAATTTCTAGTTTAAATATTTTTTGTACTAAAAAGATGTTTCTTTATAATTTATATGTAGGAGTGTAATTTTTGACAAGACCCGAAACTCAATTCGGGCCCGACCAGGAAAAATCTGTGTTCGGGTTGACCCGGTTAGCAAACAGGTAGGGTTTGGGTTCAAATTTTTTACTCGTTTCAAAAATAGGTCAGATTCGGGTTGACCTGAAAACCCGAAATCAACACGACAATGCCCGAAAGTCAGAGACAACTCCTGATTTCCGCCCGCACTGCATAGTCCGGCAGACTTTGTCGCTGCAGCGTGCTCGCGAGTCGCGACTCCGCCCACACTAACATTCCCACGGACGACTCTGCCGGCACTCGTGGACCCGCTGGCTCTATCTGCTAGCTACCACATGCTCAAGACTCAGACTCTGCCCGCACTCGCGATCCAGCGAACTCCCTCGGCTCGTGACTCGGACTCCACTGCCCGCACTCGCAGACTGGCTCAGGCGCTCAACTCGTGCTTCTTCAACCAAATCTACTAAATCCGAGTCGGGTCGAGTCAACCTGGCAACCCGCACGAATTAGGTCCGAGTTGAAATGTCTTACCCATTTGCAAAAATGAGTCAGGTTTGGATTGACCCATTTAGATCTGGGTCAACTCGGAAATAACCCAAACCCGACCCCCGTCAACCCGAATTGACACTCCTATTTATATGATGAGGATTAACTTCTTATAATAGATCTACTAAAGTGAGATGCTATGAGAAAGTTAATGGTTTTTGCAAAAGAAAAAAAAATTATGATGCACACACAAATTTGAGAAAATATATTTTCCACACAATTCTTCAACAACATCTTTTATAGACAATTGCAACTTCCACAAATGGATCCTTAGTAAATTCTATTATTATAGATTTATTAAATATTAAGAGAAATAAAATTTGAAAAATTATTTTCATAACAACTTTTAAATTTTATTAAATCCTAATAAGCTAGCCATTTGATTGTTTATTTCAAAATTTAAAATTTATGAGAGAAGAATTTTGTAAATATAGCAAATCCTACAAATGGCCAAATCTAGCAAATTAATGATGGGTTTAAAACCCCAAAACATTCTTATGATCCTTAGCTTATTTATAATTATATTTTAACACAATTACCACACTTCTATTTAGATATATATTCTTCTCATTAAAAACTCAAAATAGTCCCAGATTATTTGCGTATGACTAATTTAATCCTAGACTATCACGTTGCCCAAATTTAGTCATTCCGCTATACAAAATCGTTCCAAAATAATTCCTCGTGTTATAATTGTAATATAAAATTGAGCTGAATTTACTCCTAGAAAGATCATTTTGAATCAATTTTATATAATCAAGAATTAAAATGAAGCAATATTATACTATGAGGCTAAAATAACTATATATAAATAGTCAGGGGACTATTTTGAAATTTAATCCAAATCCTTCTCTATTTCACCCATAAACTTATGTGCACTCCAACCCTCTTATGTTCATGCACCCTCAAAAAGAGGGAAAATTATCATGTCCGGTCAAAAAACCGGAAATCCGGACGTATACCGAGCAATACCGAGTGCTCGGTGCTGAGCTCCAGATGACGTGGCGCGTGGTTAATAATCTTTGAACGCGTTCGGTGTCCGGACGTAATAATAATTACTTCAAAAAGAGTCTGACTAGTTCAGAGAAACAATTTCTCATTTAACAAATGAGCAGCCAAATTACTGGACTGAAAATTACTCACCAGCTTTCGATGGCGACCCTATCAGTGCTCATAAGACCGAGTGCAGCTAAAGAAACTCCATCTTCATTAGGAGCTAAAAACTTGCATACTGGAGAAGCACCAAAGCGATGAACAGTGCGGCCATGGGAATCAGTCTCAGTCGACCAAGTTAAAACAGAATAGCTAGCAAGAAGACGAAGAATCCTCTCAAGCTTCAAAGCAGTATAATCGCTTGTAGAATCATTAATCAGCTTAGCTGCAAACTCTTCTGCTGAAAGCTGTGCTCCAGGCCCAGCAGCAGAGAGAAGCTTGAACAAGCCGAGTTCTATAGCTGTAGTGAGAGTCATGGGAAGAACAGCCATGCTACCTATTTTTAAGGCATGATTGCATGCTTCTATTTCTTCTTGAATCTGATGAGATTCTGAATCCATTGAAGGATCTGAGAACTGATCAGAACTGAGCTGAGGAAATTGATTTGTTTATGATGTGAGCTTCTTCTCTGTTGCAGTCTGGTATTTATAGGTGAAATGGTATGCTACAGGGAAAATTTTGGATTCCAAGAGTCAAAAGTGAGAAGGAGAAGCAAAGACAATTGAGAACAACGTGATTACCGTAGATATGGACTAAGTTGGATTATATTTATTATTTATTTTCACTTAAATGTATCATTTTTCAAATTTAATATCTAAAATTTATAACCTTTAAAAATAAACAAGGATTTTTGGGCAAGGAAGAGGTCATCAGCGGCAACTACAGGATTTAGTGAAGGAAAGAAGACTAGGAAGGGAAATTTATTATGTGTGGAGTCTGAACCTAACTTGCATCCTGGCTTATTCGGACTTCGCACGTAATAATTTCTCCAACGAAGGGCGTTATCGAAGGCCTAAAGTGGGATGACGGAGTCATCATTGGAACAACACAAGAATTAAAGACAATACGGCAAAAAGCAGTGCATCGTAGATTTTGTCACTAATTCTTCTTTGCTATTGAGTGTTTCTTTATCTTCTTGTCATAGTTCTATATGTTGAATGTTAAGTAGATTAGTATGAAAGGTTATGTATGTTTTTTCATCAGTCAATTTTGAAGTTTCAAACTATAAGACAATCAGGAAGAAAATCTACCTTGGACTTTGGAGCTCCATAAGTATCCCTACTAGAAGGAATTTGAATATTATTCTAGAAAATATATATATGACAAATAATTGTTTATGAAGCATATATAAATGAAAATTATAAGAAAAGTATAATATATCATTTCTTGTAACTTATCACATAATTAAGTTTATTTAAAAAAACATTAAACTTCTAACAAATAAGTGTGTAAATGAATAAATAATTAAATTGTATAATGTATATAATTATTACACAATTATAAATTACATAATAACATTATTATCTCTATTGCTTATGTTATTATTAATGAAAGAATGTATTATCATCAAATCTAAAATATTCTCACTAACGAAATTTGATCTAAGAAATTATTCAAATTATTATCGATCAGTGTCATTGAGAGTAATATCTAGCTAGCGGATGAACGAATAACATTATCAATTTGAGGAGAACGTAAAGGATCCATAAGATTTTGTTCTATCGGTGCCTCTATATTAAGAGCTATTTGATAAATGAGATGATTTTATTTATTTTATGATGTTCTTGAATGAGTTAGGTTGACACATTCAGCCATTTTCATAGAAAAAAAGTTAGATAATAATATTTAAAGCTATAATTAGATCAACAAAGGTGCTTATTTTCCAAAAGTAAGACATAATATAGAAAGATAATTTTTTTTTATCATTTTATAAGACACCATTAATTAAAACAATCATGAGTGAAAGGATTAATGGTAGGTGAAAGTAACCTAATCTTATCTAGAAGAGATCTTGAATATTTAGAGCCATTCAATATTTCTAAGAGAACAAAGGAAATGTATAAAGAAGCCCGGCCCTCATACTCCCTATTTAAGGTGTTTATAGACTTACAAGGCACACTTAGGCAATTAATTAGTAGGTTTATTTAATTAGTTAGTAATCATAATTATGTTCACATCATTACTCCACCACTCATAATGACCTTGTCCTCAACTATAAGCTTATAAGCTATTACAATTAGGTTCACATCATTATACAAAATTATGATTTTAAAGCACTTATGATTTTAAAGCACTTATCTTAAAATTTATATCCAACCATTAAAAATTATAATCATAAATTTTATGTATATAAAGCAAAAAAAATTATGTTTAAAAAAACAATCATTTTATATTATTAAAGTTAATTACTTTATCTTATTTCTATTTTTGAAAAGAAAGATTCCATGCATGATAGGTGACTAATATGGGTAGATCATTTTCATGAGAAATGTTGCATGTTTGCTTTTAAAATTTGTTGGGTGTTGAAATTAGAGTTGATCTATCATTTCATTTTAAAGTAGAATTAAAATATCATATGAAAATTAATTCATTCAAGAAAATAAGAATTCTTGGTCTAATTATTTGAATTAGAAAATTTTAGGACCAGTTTTTGATTTACCCAAACTGAATTTTTAGCAAACTTAATGGTATAATTGAATGTTTAGTTAGACAAATCTCAATACACTAAGAGTGTCTTGCAAAATTAATCTTGGATGTTAAAAACATGCCTAATAAGAAATTGATCCAAAGGTTGAGTCTTAAGATTCTATACAATAGAGTTTCAAGGTTACTTCATAATAGATACTTTGTTGGAAATATGGAAATTTGATTTTTGGTTTTCTGTTTTTACGCCGGCTTTGATATTATTAAGCTTGTTGCATAACTCAAATTGTGGGACAACGTCATATTTATAGACCGAGCATTTTGAACAAGCTTCATGAAATTAGGGATAAGATTCCATCCAAAAGTTATTGTACATGAATTTTTTTTGAGGAGAGGAATGGGAGTCCATATGTAATATAAGAGGTGAATAATCAAATGACAATATACTGACAATTTTAAAATGGGAGAGGGGGTAGGAGATGAGCTAATGCTTGTTATTAATAGCATAGTTCAATAACCATCTAATTGGATTTTGCAATTGCTCATGATACCAACTAAAAGAGAGACATGAGTGAGGCAATTCCAACATACCTACATTGAAGATGCAATTGTCAAAGTCCACCATTTTGTAAGAATGAGGGGAATTTTCACAGGTTTTTTCATCCAAAGTTGTCACACAGTCAAAAGCATTAAGAATAATCCATAAGTCATAAATTAATCAAGAAATATCAAAGATTGTTTGCCAAAGAATTTCCTTTCTTTAGCATTATTATCAGCATAAATGAAGGTGATCGAGAAGTGGATTGAAGAGTAAAAGTTAATTCTACCATAAATAAATTACAAATGAGTAGAGACATAAGTAAATGTTACATAAGCTACATTCATTTGATCCTAATTTGGCCACGAATTATTGCAGTTAACTTCATTATAGGAAACATCAAAATTCCTTCTACTCATCACTTCATCAAGAGAAATCTGATTCATCTTAGTCTTGAGAAGGCAAAGAACATTGATCTTATGATCAGTCACAAATTTTTTGTATTAGGTGATATGACCATCATCATTCAAGCCCTAACATTCTAAGATAACATTTTATGTAAGGTTGTTGATTGTTGTTTGAGGGTGGAGGGGATATCCCCTTTTGTCTAAGTTTTCAACCCTCACAAATGAAGAGAAGAATACCATGTAATACATATCATGCCCCAAGATCTAACTTGGAAAGAATCTCAATTAATTTCTCAAACAATTTACCAGAGTTATCTAAACAACCATTAAACAGTCTATAAACATATATAGTATTTAAAACATCAATATATAAGTCGATCCATATCTCAAAAGTTCATGTACAAAACTCAGGAACTACACTACCATCACAAGTAAAGAAATCTATCCTGTCCTGAGTACAAAAGAATCAAAATCATCAAAAGAACTAAAACCTGTAGATCCGGATCAATTTCTATCTTCTGCTCCCTTGCCCTGACCTGAAAATGTCAACCACATATAATGAGCTTTACAAAGCCCAGCAGGTCACCTAATACCTATAACTGAAATCAAAGCACGATGATGCTATCAATATGCATGTCAGTCAATCAAATCCATATCAGTCAATGGTCAATGAGTCTATGCAATACGAAAATCCATAGTCAATGAAACCAGTCAATGCAGCAGCAGGCAAATCGATAAATCAAGCTCAATCAATACACGTCAATCTCGAAGAAATCCGTACACAGAAGAAAATCAATCAATCCGTCAAATCAGTCGTATCGAATCAATCAATCAAATCAAATCAAATCTATGCTATCTGGTCAATAAAATCAATCGGAAAGGCAATACGATAAATCTCAATCTATCCTATCAATAAATCAAATGTAGCAAGTCAATACAATGCAGAATCAATAGTATCAATAAATCTATAAGCAATATCAATATCCATATCCAAAGCATCAATGAATTTAACCATATCTATATCCATTAGAACCATATCAAGGTCAATAATCAATAGTATCCATGCTCAATGATCAACAAAGAAATCGATGAAATCGTACGAAATCACACAATACAGTAAATCTGATCAAATCAATAAAGCAGAAATCGATAAAGCAGTAAATCCGTATGCCAATACAGTAAACATGCATTCAATACAATAATACTGAACAAGTACAATCAACTGGCTATGTTGCTGTTGTAGAATCCATATTGCTGTTGTAGATATCCATACGTTGGTTTCAATAAAAAGAGTCGTCACTCTATTGCCCGTCGGCCGCCCGTCGGCATATCTATAAGAAATCCTTATGACTCTCATCCATCTATCCATAATCGATGTTTAAAGAAAAGCCCGTCGGCCCACCATCCTGTACAGGTCAATTCAATCTCCAACCAATGTTCAACTAGGTTCCACTTGTGTTTCAGTATCAATAATCAATCAATAATCAATATTAAAGCAATCATATCAATATTCACATTCATAATAATGCAATCTATCAAATTCAGAAAAATCAGAAATCATACAAAAATCGGGCAGAGTAACGGCAGTCTATCAAATTTACACAAAAATCCTGCAAAAATCACAAATTCCAAATTTCTCCAAATTACAATAGAATATTCACGACATCAATACAAGACTATTGCTCTACTGAATCCATATCAAATCAAGTCCTGATATTTTTCTATTCGATTAAAATCGCGTAGAATCAATTCCGACCGGTAAAATCATCGTAGAAAATACTCAAATCGTGTACAATATTCATATCTATAACATTCTAAAAGTTGTGCGGTGAAAGTTGTGTCAATACAAAACCGGGTCCAAAATTCGACTACGAAAACACAAAACAGTGCACAACTCGATCAAAAATCAAGATATCTGAAAACAGAAATAGGATTCGGAGTCCTTACCACGAGATCTTCACTTTTCCCAACAGCGGCGTCGGACAAAAAGCGCTCCGCGGCCTCCGAAATCCAGCTTTTCCTCTACTTTTCCTCTCTTTCTCTCTCTTCAAAATATCTGATATATTTAAAATGATTTTATCTCTCCTCAAAACGAGCTGATTTCCTTATATGCTTAGTCTGATCAGCCCGGCCGATCGCCACATCGTCCTGGCCGATCAGAACAAAAAACCAATCGGCTCTGGACGATTTCTCAGGACGATGCTCTCGGGATTCTTGTCGTATCTGATCGTCCCAGGATGATCCAAAATCATCCTGGACGATCCAGTCCAGAAATCACTCCATAAATCATTCCAGAAATCAGCCGTTTTCAATGCACTAATCGGCCTGGCCGATCTCAACATCGTCCCAGCCGATCCTGGGAGGAAAATCCAATTCATAGAGGAACAGTAAGGGAACGAGATCTCACAATACATTAGCATTGCTCTCACTAGTGTTGGATGAGGATGCTGGATATGTATGTGAGTTGATACTACTAAAGGTGATAGAAATTATTATTAGTGACTGTGGTAGAAATCTTGATTATCAAAAGTTGAGGAATAGCTATTTTTTGGTGATGGATCAATAGTGGTGTTGAGGTCTTAGAAAGTAGGAGGGTTGTATCATGCTAGTGATTTTTGGTAGTATCAATGGATGTAGGTGGAGGGATTGGATTAAACGAGGTTAATTTAGGTTGGTTCATCACTTATTGAGGGAAAGGGGAACGATTGCGACTCCTTTCACAAGGATGTTATATGCTGGGTTGGGTGGGTGTAGGTTTTTTAAAAGGAATACTAGATTTGGGGCATGAGGCATTATCATGCGTGAATGTGTGACAAGAAGAACAGGCCAAATGCTTCTATTCATAGATAACCAATAATTTAATATATTCTCTCTAACATTGATTATGATTTCATTTGGAAAGGATGCAAAGTTGTCAGTCTTAATACAAATACGAGGAAAAGTAAATGAAGATTGATTAAAGGAAATTTAACTTGTGGAGAAAGAAATTTTCTCTTTCAAACAATGGATGTAATTAAAAGAAATTTAGCGCATAGAGAAAATTTCAATGTTGGAGAAAGAAAATTTCCCTTCCAAACAATGGATATAGTTAAAGGATATTTAGCTTGTGGAACATGCAAAGTAAGAAGTTCCTTTCAATTCATATTTTGTCAGGATTCCACGCATTAAGCGATGGAAACTCAAGTGGGTCCATGTTGAGATCAGCCAAAGAATCTAAGCCATAGAGGCCTACAAGGGTGGAGAAAAAAATCATAAATGAAAAAACAAGGAGAAATCCTAAATAGAATTGAGAGGAGGAACCTCTAATCTTATTAGACGTACGTCAATCAGTATGACCATTAACGTATCATATGAAAATAAAAATAATCATAAAAAATATTTGTATAAAATAAAGAATATTAGGAGATACATCAATTCCACAAAACCTACCTATCCTTTTTTTTTTTAATTTAATAGGTGTTGAAATATAATACTCATATCTTTTGAAATCACAATCAACTAATTAAAAAAAAAATTTTTTTGATATAAAATTATCATAAGTTAGGTATTGGCTGTGGAAATCAATCATTGTCATATAAAGAAAAAAAAAACTCCAAAAAAATAATATAAAATACCCAAAGAACTAATTTATAAAAGGTAAGCCTGCCTGACATAAATATTGCAAGGAATTTTTTATTATTCTATAGGCATATTGGCATAACTAGTGGAATAATATGTGAAAGGACTGAAAATGGACGGTCATCTTGGCAACCAGGCTTGAACTCGTTCGTTTGCTGCTTGCTGGAGGTTCTGCGATGGCCTACCCTTATGCAAGCCTGTCTTCTTCTCTTGGCAACCTGAGCCACCGCAACAGCAATCTGTGTATCTCTCTGACTAATGGATGATTGGGGTTTGGTCCTTCATTTTCTGAGTCTTTTTATTGTAATTTTCTCCATCAGCATCTCTGTCTTTGGCATGCTGGATGTTTTTTTCTTATGTTAGCCACAGTCTTTTCTGCTTTTCTTATTGCTGTAATTTGTAATCTTTTGTTCATTTAATACATGGGCTTTTAGCCCCGGGTTTACCCAAAAAAAAAATATGTGAAAGGACCGTTATGTCATTACTTAAAATTAAAAAAAAAATAAATCATAACAAATTATTTATGCGAAACAAAAAAAAAATCATGTTGATTTTATTTTTGATCATTTTTACATTAAATAAATCATTTTATTTTATTTTTATTCTATTCTATTTTATTTTAGATCATTTTTATTCATAATTTTATTTTAAGAAAATTTTTAGATATATTTCTCCAAGAAAGTAGACATAAAAAATATTTCTCCAATTACATATATTAAGAGATATATAAAGCCAAATTTCTCAATACTATGCCCAAACATTTTTTTAGTATGAATTTTTTTGTAAAAAGGCCATCAATCAAAATATTTAATAGAAAGAATAATGATAATAATAAAATTATATGTATGAGAATGCAAAAAAATTTCTCTAATATGATAGCTATCCATTTAAATTAGCTCTCTCTTGACTTTTTTTATCATAAAAATTTCACACAAATTTGATTATCTTAAATGTTTGAATAGATTTAGGCTTTATTTGAGATAACTTTCTTACTGCTTTATAAAACAATTTTTTAGTTAGGTCAAAAATACATGTATGAACTCAACCCATTAGCCACCCAAATAACCTGAAGACGCATTAACCCGCTTTGGTGAATTTTTTTTGTTATAATTGATTAATTACAAAATTTAACAAATTTGATAAAAAAATAAGAATATTATGCGATCAAATAAAAAGTTAAAAAAAAAATTAAACAAATTATTTTTGGATTTAAAAATGAGTTTACAGGTTAACCTGAAACTTACCTATTTTATAAATGGATTAATTCGTATCCGAATTTCTCTGTTTATTGAAACCAGAGATCAGTAGAACGGCAAACAGAACAGATAGAACAACATAATCTAATCGTCGGAGCGATCAAATCGATCGATTATTTAGAGCATAACAGTAATCTGATGAAGAAGACGACCAGAATCAAACCTATTCTTTGTTGAAGAAATCAGCCAAAAGCTTAGTCATCTCCTTCGCCTTGTCGGTATCAGGATTAAAAAGGTGGAATACATGCTCGGAATCCGGCGTCTCCACCAGCTCCGCCTTCCCTTCCCAGCCACTCTGCTTCACCTTTTCGTAATAAGCTTTTCCTCTGTGCTTAATGGTATCCTTCTCGGCTACAGTAACAAGTAGCTGATCGCAGCCCAACAAAGCGAGGTTTGCGGCATCGACGGCGAGAGGGTTTATCCTAGGATCGTCTGGTCCGGTGGAATTAGGGCATACGAATTGCCAGAGTTTTTCCACGGTAGACCGGACTGCGGGATCCGTCGATTCGGAGCCAATCGGCTCCGATCCCCAAAAATATGGGTGAATCAATGCGACCCCCTTGAGGATTACCCCGGCAGCCGAATCCACCCTGGCGCGCAACGCCATGTGGTGGCAGATGTTTGCGCCGGCGCTGTCGCCGGCGATGAAGACTCGATTCAGATCGGCGTGGTCGGACAGCCATGGATCTGGGAGGGACAAGACCCAGAGAAGAGAGGTCCATGAGTCTTCGTAGGCGGCGGGGATAGGGTGCTCGGGGGCAAGGCGGTAATCGACGGAAACGCCGATTAGAGGGGTGAGAGCAGAGAGCGAGTTGAGGTGGCGATGGTAGGCGGGAGAAGCGGATGATTCGAGGCAGAAAGCGCCGCCGTGGAAATAGACGAGGAGGGGGAGCTTTTGGCCGGCGGCGACGGGTGGGAGGTAGAGGCGAACGGAGACGCCGGTTGTCGGGTCGATGGTGATGTCTTTGGAGTCCACGCCCGTGGCCGGATCGAGTGCGGCGGGGAGCTTGTCGGTGCCGATGAAGCGCAAAAGGTGGCCGTCCTTGTAGATACGGAAGAAACCAGGGACGTCGACCTCGATCTCCTGTGAATCATCGGCGGAGGCAGCGGCGTTAGCGGCGGTGGAAGCCATTGAAAGGTCCAGGGTTAGCTCTCCCTGTATCTTAGGAGCCACTTCAATCTTTTGATCTCTTAAGAAAGATATTTTTAAAACTATATCTGTACAAGCATTAAATTAAGCAATATAAGATAATTTTTTTAATAATTATATCTTTTAAGTTATAATAACTAAGTCCCATATGAGAGAGTAATGATTCCGTCAGGTTACCGAATGCATTCGGAAACCAATAACAAAACGCCACGTCTCTAAAGTGCTTGGTATTGTGCTCGGTACAGGCACTCGGTATGCTCGGTATTTTTATCGGACACAATAAAAATTCTATATGAGATGTTATAGTTAGCTACTTATAATATCTTATTTAGCTCATCTTGATCTATTGATTGAGAGTTTTTACCATCAACAAAGAGGCCCCAAATTAAAAGCTTGAGTATATGATGTGTATGAATTTGTTTTAATTGGTCTAAATGTTCCAAAAAAAAACTTATAATATATTTAATTCAAATAGCAATGATTGATACATCATTAAAAATCACATTGCCCGGACACTGATATTGAAGCATATTTGAACTAAAAATTTTCAAAATTAAATTTCGAACCATCCAAAATATGATCTCTGCAACCTTACAGTCGAATGAAACGTCTTGACAAGACGAACTCAATGACACCAAAATCGGTCTAATCCGAGTCAAAATGAGCTCGAACCAAGGGATTGAAGTATATTTAGAAGGTTCAAAACATAAATTGGGAACCAAATAGTCTCCAAATATGATATGCTTATAGTCAAATTGAGCTATTTGACAAGATAAATCCAATTAGTCAAATATCACTTTATTCTGACATCATTAAGGCATTTAGATTCTTGACGAAAGATTTTTGATCAAATGAATTAATATGAATCATTTGATGGAGAACATTGAATTTGTCCTAGATTTTTTCTTTAGAGACAACTTTCTTGTTTTTTTTTAGTTATCGCCATCGATAGTAAAACCTAGCTATCGCTATTGACAATCATTATCGCCACCGACAACCATCATCGCCAGCGACGACCAATATCAGAAATCACCATCATCTCCAGAATACTGATAAGTTTTGACCCTGTTGTTGGATATATTTCTTCATATATGGACATCTATTTCTATAATCACTATTGAAAAAACTAAGCAATATTATTAGGTATAGACTATCCCTCTGTGGACGCTTGATATTAGTACTCTCCCTCTTTTTCAATAATGAAGAAAGAATGGTATTTGTATCACTTGCTACATGGTGGTTTTAAACTAGATCAGTCATCATGATTTTTTCTCTTTTCAGATTTTCCACGTAAAAAATTATCTGATCTTACTATTTTCATTTTTACCTACTGAATCTTTGTACACTGTTAAGATGTAAAATTCATACTCTACCGACTCAAAATTTCTAGTATGCAATAATAATCATATATATTATCACAATTGATTTTATTTCAATTGTTTGTCATAGTGGTAAGTTATCCTAACCTTAATGATTAATTGCATATATATGCTTGTTTGAGCATGTGGATTTATTAACTCCCCTTATTTATATTCCTTTGCTAATTTATGTCATGCTAGAAGGAGATATTGTTTATTAAATCCTTGAAGTTATTATCTAAATAATAGAGGCTAATATAAGAATTATATTGTTGTAACTTCTCTTATATATTATGATGTTCTGGAATTTAATTTAAAAAAATTATTCTTTTATCTTTTAATATATAATAATCAAAGTTATATGATTTCTTTTATCAATATAAATATCAACATAAGTGAAACTATCAATCGAAATATTAAGATATACATATGTATTCTTTTTCTTGAAAATCATGTACACTGTTCAGGATCTATATAATCTTGTCGTAATTACTTTATCATGAGTATAAAAGAATTGCTAAAATAACAAGAACATGAACTTAAAATATCATGATTAATCTCATACTCTTGTTCTCTTGTCCTGACTTGAAGTCGTTTAATCACATATAATGAGCTCAAGAGCCAAAGAAGTAACTAAATCCTAAAACTGAGCTCAAAACACGACAAAGGAGTAATATTCTTATCAACAGTCAAATAATAACATTAATATTTTTATGATCATGAATCAATACAGAAATAGTAAAATGCATATATAGTAGCAGTAAAGACTGTACTTAGTAAAGCGATATGGTATGGAAGTTAATAAAGCATTACAATTGAGAAATCAGTAAACCAACATGGATGTCGAATCATGAAAAACAATTGTCATATCAGTGTTATCAATTAGTAGAGAAATCAAATAAAGCGGTAAAATTAAACATCAGTAAATATTGTCATCAGTAAAGATTGTCATAATCATATCAACGTAGTAAAAGTATATATAAGTGTCCACATACTATCCATGTATTCTATCTTAGTATCAAATCAGTATATTACACGTTTAGTATGTCACATGCTAAATATCAATACAGTGACTTAGTAGTGTCAAATAATATCAATGTTTATATTGGTAACAATAACAATCTAGTGGCAAGAGCAGCAAATAATATAGTAACAGTAAATTTCTGCAATAATAATAAAACACGTACATTAATAGGAATAATTAGGGGTGTCAAAATAGATATTCGAGCCCAGCTCAAAATTGACCCTGGTCCAAACGGGTTAACCCTAATTAGACCCAATTTTTTAAATTGGTCGAAACTTTAGACCCGAACTGAACCCACTGGGTTAACTCGACTCGACTCGCTAACCAAGAATTTTGTAGGTCAAGTGAGGACATGCAGGCAAGGGCGGGCGAAGGGGTTTTGAGCAAGCGAGCTAGGGTGCATGAAGAAAGGAAAGGGCTCACTGCGGGTGCATATCTGGTTGTCTGGGTATAAACACATTAGATGAGCAAGGGCACAAGAGTGGGTATGGGTGTGGACGTGAGCGCTGGAATACGGGAGGGAGACTTTCTTAATACTTTCATACTGGAGTTTTAGACTTCATTTGAGACGACTTTCTTACTACTTTCTTAAGCAACTTTTTAATACCAAATTTTCTTAAAATAAAAATTTCTGTACTAAAAAAATGCTTAAAAAAGTTATTTGGAATATATCATAAATATGAAATACTAGCTTAAAAAGCTAGAAGTACGAAAAATCTTCATTTCTAAATTCGAAATGCCTTTTTAAAATGTATTTATGAAAAAATCTGATTAAATTTTATTTTACAATCTTTTTAAAAAATTATATATATAAAATTTAAATTTTATGGCATGAAATATGTAGTACCAAATCTTCTTAAATTCAAAATAGATAATAAATCCGTAATATTCCATCAGATTTTGCGCACTTTCCAAATAAAAATTAATGGAATAAATATAAAATAAATAAATAATATAATTTATTTAGAAAAAAACTGAATATGGCATAAAATCTCAGAAAATATTCTCATAACAGTTTCGAAGATGAAACAAATTCAATCTTGTTAAAGATGAAGATGGGGAAGATGATCGATCCCCTATTGAAACCCTAAATCCCTAAACCCTTCGTGGATTGGTTGATCTTAATTATCCCGTTCCCACTGCCACCGTCGCCACGGCGGAAGCACCGCGGAGTAGCGGCGACCTCCGGCGTTCTCCGCCGATGAAGGCATTCGATCCGGCGGTTCCGTTCTATGGGCTTCCACCACCGCAGCTATCCTCCGTCAGCATTGGCAAAAGCGCCGGCAATATCTCTAGAACTATGAGCAATTTAGCCCAAAATCGTTCCTTTGATTACGAGGGCTATGCTTACGAGTTCTCTCGACCTGAAGATCTCCGTCAGGAAGACAATCAGACGCCGCAGTTCGATGATTCTTTTATTGGTAAAGTTCTTCTCTGCACTAATTTTCTTCAAATTTTAGGGTTCGGATGTGTTCCTTTTCTTTTTTGTATGATTTTTGGCCTTTACTTCGGTTTTGTTCTTTATGATTCTGAAGTTTTTTGATGTAGCATTAACAAAAGAATGTATATTTGGACAAATTTTTATTAGAAAATTAAGAAAGTTTGTTCTTTTGATTTCACTTCTAAATTATGTAGTTTTACAGAGAAATTGAACAGTGGAAACTGGTTTAGTGATGTAAAGCAATAAATAAACATGAACCAACCAGGCTCATATATTGCTGAAAATTTTTTTTTTTTGGACTTCATGCATGGCATTGATTTTTTATGTATTTATATATCTAACACTTCAATTTTTTACATTTAGATATCACCAAAATCTCTTGAATTACATAAAAAATATCACTAATATTAACCTATTTAAATTGAAGCTCATATTTTCATATATAAATATTGATAAAAAATTTGGGTGTTATAAAGATAAATATAAAGATAAAAAAATGTAGTGATATTTACATAAAAATTTAAATATTAGATGGTAATATGCATTCATCAAAGGAGATTTATGAAGTTTACTATCAAAGTGTGTGGAGTACAAAAACAGGGGAGCATACATGCATGAATCAAACGCCTTTACACACTACAGCAAAATCTTCCATTTCCGTCAGATTTTTCAAGCGGAAACTCATTGTTCCAACATTTTTTTTCCGTCGGTATTAGTTGTGTAGGAAATTGAAACCGGAGGTTTATTTTTGACAGTATTATTTTCCGACGGTTTTAATTTGTTGTTTCACCAGCGGTCAAAGTGGTGGCTAGTGCAGAATAATCGCCTGAAATTTCCGGCATTTGGTCGGCGGTTTAGCAAAGTACTGGTGTAATATCCGACGGTCAATGAACCGCCGGAAATTCCGGCAGCCAAACCACCAGTATAACCTCCGATTATTACCAGTGGCTAATACGCCGGTCTAACTGTTGGAAATAATGTTGTCGGTATATGATGAATTACCTGTAGTGGTTGTTCACAAAATAATATGGGTAGAGTTCAAAACTTTATTTTTAAGTGCATTTTGTGTGCATGCATTCTTGCTAGTAAAATAAATGAGGCAGACATTTATGCTGCAAGGAGAGTTATCTTTTTCAACATTTAAATTTTGTTTATTGAGATTCAGATGAACAATAAAATGGTTGATTTTTATCTACTATATAAGAAATAGAAGGAAGGTGATTTGTCAAAGTTTGATTATTTAGTATATTTCAAGTGAGATATGAAAGTGGATGGAGTATACTTTTTGATGCTAAAATTCTTGGTTTTGGAGATTTTATCACTATATCAAGATTATTCATGAAAGGAGATTATGAACATAGTTATCAAACATCAAAAAATTGTAGAATTAAAGAGAGATTATTGTCTACATGAATCATTTTCAGGATGTATAGATCAGCAACCTTAATTTGACTTTGACATTTCAAAGATGGAAATTTATGGAAGGTAGGAACTAATAGAAATTTGTCAATTTATCTTCCAAAAAGGTCAAAGCTAGCTCTTTGATAAAAAAGTTTCTGAAAACCTATAGAGTAAGAATATTGCCTCATCGCTGCTAGAATTCTCAGCACACATCAAATAAAGGTGACAAGGACTTTTACATGGATGCCTTGCCCACCTGATAAGTTTTCATTATGTGGAAATTGATCCTTAGACTTTGTCCTTTGCGGGTAATTAATACGTTTGGTAGTACAAAATATCAATTGATTTTATGGCCAGCCCAATAAGATGCTTTACTCCTGCTTAGTTCATTATAGTCTAGTATTGTTAGAATTTTCTTTGTTGATTTTTTGGTCAAGCCGGCCATTAAGGTCAATAATAAGTTTTTGTGACTTGTTTGGCATATTACTCTTTTTTTGTAATTTTGGTGGACATCAATGCTCACTTTTTCTCTGAACGAAAAATTTAATTATGACTTTTTGTCCTTCAATGAATTCTTAAATTTTGATATACTTCTTGATTCTGATGCTGTTGGACTAAGAAAAATCATTTGGACATATTGATGACTATTTTCCAAGTTCACAGATTGCATATATCCCTTGGAGTCCATAATCTTTTGAATCATTTAGTTTAGGCCACAAACAAAATTTTAGTAAAAATTATTAAGATATTAGTCTTCACCCTTTTTCCTATCTTGCTAGTGAAGCTTTTACAATATTGCGCCCCATGAAATTATAAAAGAAACGAGTACCCTGATGCTTCTAATTGAGGAAGAAGATAGTAATTGTATGCTACAACTAGATTGATTTTTGCTTGCATGAACTCCAATTGAATTTTTGTGGACTGATAGGAGGTCTATCAAACCTCTTTGACCATGTTTGTGTTTGAATTGATCAAAGCATACCAAATTGCACTTCAATTCGGCTTTTCTGTGGTGGTCACATAAAAATTTCTCCCTAAAATGTTGGGATTTAGGCTTCGTTTGGGATGGCTTTCTTACTGCTTCTTAAAACAGGTTTCTAGTATAAAAATTTTAATTTTTAAACTAGAAAGCTATTTTAAGAAGCAGTAAAAAATTATCCCAAACAAAGCCTTATATGAACCGAACAAACTGTTGATCTTCTCTTGCCCATGTTTATGTTAGATTTGGTTAGCTTTAATTTCTTGCATGCTTCCTATTCTTTCATTCTTTGTGCTCCCTGGTAGTGAACATTCTTATCCATTCTATCAAACTCTACATATTTTCTATAATGCAAACATAATTTGACTGTAAGAACCACTTTACATTTTACCACATGCGTAATGGCCTCTTTCAAATATTCAAAACTTCGACTTGTTATGTTTTGTATATGTTTATACTCTCATTCTTCAGTTAGACCACAATTTCTTCTTCCTGGTCAATTTTTTTCAACGTTGTTTTCAGCATTGCCCGACTCTATTGTTCATCAAGCAACAGCACAAAAGCTTTTTCACAGTAAGTTTTTATTTGTTGACATTACCGATTATTCAATCTCTAAATCATTAGAAACTTTGTTATAATCCCAATAAGAAATTGCTCACTAATCTCATGCTATTTTCCTTAGATGGCCTAGTGGGTGATTCTTATGAGAATAGTTATCAACACCAAGATTACTATTACAACGACCACGAGAATGCACATCTCCCTGGCTTCCATTCAGAACCACAGCGCGATGCCCAGTTCTCAAGGGCTTATCATGGGTGTCCAACTCATGATGTTTCAGGTCTGAAATTTCATCAACCATATGACCAAACAGACTCCGAAGGCAACTATGATAGAATCTCTCAACTTTTGTCAACTTCAGTTGCAAACCTTCACAAATTACCCAATGATTTTAACGAAGATTCTGTGGAAGGGAAATGCATTGGCGAGGGATACCTTTTTGAGAAAATTCTACATGAAGCAAAAAATTCTGGATCATATTTAGGAAGATCTAAGAATTCCAACTTAATGGAGAAAGATGCGGCCCATATTTTTGAAACAAATGTTGGCCACTTCAGTTCTGGATACAATGCTCCAGGAATTGATAATCTGATTCAAAGTCTCCTTCAAACAGAGATACAAAAGCAAGTAAGATCATTGAAATACAATGAATTATTTCAGTATTTGTGATTCGTTTTATTTGATAGCATTTTTCTTAAGCTTTATATGTGTTCATACTGAAAGGGAGAACCATAGAAGGAAAGTGTTTTGAAACTCGAGTTAGACTAGCTGTTATGACTGGTTGGACCATGTACCTGATGTGAAACCACATGCGGTGAACATGAATTGCACGTTAGAGATTAATGAGAGTTTAACTTTGCAATGTTAACGATAAAATCTAGCTTTCTCAATTTGGATTCAAGAAACTTCGTGATAGATTATGTTAACGGCGGTAATTACATTTAAGAATTACATGAGTCTTACAAAATATAACCAAAATAAACTTGATAATGCAAATAGCTACGACTAAAGCCACACGTTTAAAATTTAGATCATTCACCTTGAGGACCTTTCATTGCTCTCGAAAATAGGGGCTAGCGGAGGAGGATTGTAAGTAAACTCAACGATGCCACTAATAGACAAGTAATCCCGAGAGGACTCGTCGCCGGGGAGGAAGCCGGATTTGGAG